CAGTGAAGGGCAACTAGACCAGCAGGGGGGGCAGTAAGGAGTGACCAGGCTGGTGGGGGGGCAGTTAGGAGCGACCAGGCCGGCAGGGAGGGGGCAGTTGGGGGCAACCTGGCCAGCAGCAGGGAGCAGTTAGGGGTGATCAGGCCGGCATGCAGAGGCAGTGAGGGGCGATCAAGCTGGCGGGGGGGGGCAGTTAGGGGCAACCAGGTAGGCAGGCAGGTGAGCGATTAGGAGCCAGTGATCCAGGATTGTGAGAAGGATGTTCGACTGCCTGTGGGATCGTACCTAAATCGGCAGTTGGACATCCCTCAAGGGGTCCCGGATTGGAGAGGGTGCAGGCTGGGCTGAGCCCCACCCCCCTGCATGAATTTCATGCACTAGGCCTCTAGTATAACATAATTTTGAAGAAATTGTGGGAAATAAAGGAAAGTGTAAAAAGGAAAACATTCCATAGTCCAAAGTAATCCATAATTCCACCACCCAAAGATAAGTAACTACTGCTATAGTATATTTCATTTGTTTTTTTACATATATCTATATTCTATTATATGCGTGACTTCATATCCTAATTGAGAATTTCCACCCTAAATGAAAAGTCTCTTAATGCATGATTTTTAAATAACTGCATAATATTCCAATATATGCATATGTTTTGATTTATTTAATCATTCCTCAATTAAGATACTTTGTAAGCCATATATTTTGAAAATCTTCCTCTGCCTCCTGTTTCTGCAACTGAACCTGCTTTCCTTACACCAGGATTCAAGATGCATGATTCTATATTCAGCTGCATTTCAGAATGTTTACTTCCCTCCTAGAATTAGGATAGTATTATTTTCTATTATTTTCATTGTAAATATAAAATCTTTCATATGAATTAAATAGATATTGGTGAACTCACCAGGCACTATACTCACTGATCATTTGTTCTTTTATTATCTAGTGACCTCTGACTACATGGGGGAAAATTCCCATTTTTGTACCTATGGACCAGTTGGGAGATGCCTGTTAAATTGCCTCCTGGTGACCTGAAGGCTTTAATGTTCCTCTAAATATTGAGCTCCCTGAAGAGTATTGACTGCAGTGGCTGAGCTGACAGTGAATGTTTTCTAGAAACTTTAATGAGCTTTGAAAGAGAATTTCTTTATCTGTGTATCCAAGTTGTTTCAGCAGTTGTTTCAGCACAGTGTGAGCAAACCTTCAGCTGCAAGTCATTTTATTATTCAATAGAGGCCCGGTGCACGAGATTCGGGGGCGGGGCGGGGGGGTTCCCTCAGCTTGGCCTGCGCCATCTCACAGTCTGGGATCCCTCAGGCGTTGTCTGCCTGCCAGCTTAGGCCCAATCCCCCTGGAAATCAGGCCTAAGCTGTCAGTCAGAATCCCTCTCGCAGTCCAGGGCTCTCGCAGTCTGGGACCCCTTGCTCCTTACCACCCACCTGCAGTGGAGGCAGGAGAGGCTCCTGCCACCACCTCTGCACTCTCCAGCCATGAGCCCAGCTTCTGGCTGAGCAGTGCTCCCCCTGTGGGAGCACACTGACCACCACGGGGCAGCTCCTGCATTGAGTGTCTGCCCCATAGTGGTCAGTGCGCATCATAGCGACCAGTCATTCCACAGTTGGGTCAATTTGCATATTATGCTTTTATTATATAGGAGTGGAATTGGGCTCAGAAAGCAGCAGCAACCTGTTGGGTATATTATTTCCATTTGTGTGACTAGCTTGACCCATCCATCATTCTAACGAGGCTGTTTGGGGGCTTCCAGTCCCTGAGGGGGGTCAGGAGAGCCCCCTGGCCCAGCTGACTTACCATGTCCTGGGGTTGACAGCACGTTTGCTTGGTTGGCAGGACTTGCCAGTCTCACTACTCTGTAACTTGCGTGGGTAACATGAGCTGAAACAAATAAGAGGGGTTTCCATGAGCCAAGTTGGCTGTGTTATGTCAAGGTCAGCCTGGAGCTCCAGAGTGTCTAACTGTCCACCTTAGTTCCTAGACCTTCCTTCTTAGGGAGTGAACCCAACAATACACTTTCGGCACCGTTTTCAGGCACTAAAATGATTTTGTGATGAGTATGAGGCAGACAGAATGGTAGGGGCAGGTTTCCTGCCTCTTTCACTTACTAGCCACAAGACCTGAGAAGGTTACTTAGCCTGTCTGCCATAGCTCTCTTCTCTGTAAGATGGGAGTAACACAAGTGCTCATTTTATAAAGAGTAAAACTAGTTAATAATTGTAAAATTCTTATGATAGCATTGGCACATGGTAAGTTCTCCGTTAATGTGAGTTACAATTTTGAGAGTATAAGTGATTTCTGATTGTGTTCTCTACAATACTTCACATACAAAAGGTGACCAAAAATATTTGTTAATTTGAATTGAATAGAAACGAACCATCGTAGGCCATAGAATCAACTTTTGTACTAAGAGGAGTCAAATCCCACTGAGATAGCATGGTCATGTGTCTTTGTCAAGCCCAAACTACCCAAGAAGCTGGTATTCTCTTTCCAGCCTGCATCCATTATCAGGTTAATATCAAAAGGTTTCTATCTCTTCTCCCCAGAACCTGTTGAATTAGAAGTCCTTTCTCCAATCTACCCCTTGCCTGCCACATCCAGAATCCCATGTTGTCCCAGAATTGCTTCTCCATTTTTTAAAAATGTTTCTATACAGAAGTCCCATTGTATCAAACTAGTGAGTCCACATATTAATATGTAAGGGTAGGATGAGTCACTCTGGCACCCCAATATATTTGGAAATGTGCTAAGAAAAATATGTTTTGAACCTTGCTAAGCACTAACACTCAATGCCTGCTGAGGGGACTTTTTAAAATGAAACATTTTGCTGAATAAAGGTCATTCCATCCAGATGGTATTTTCATTTCCCAGAAGGCCCTGGAACAAGTTTGCTCATGACCTTCATCACAGCACAGGCCTGATGGAGGCACTGAGATCTCTTCCTTTCTTTAAAGTGATTTCATTCACACCAGGCTGTTTAGGGACTCTGCTGAGCTCCTGGGGCTTCATGAAAGCCTGCAGACCCCAGAAATTCCCACCCTCTATCAGGCTCTGAGTGACCAGAGGCTTGGGTCAGGCCAGCCTGCCCCAGCCCAGTCCTGAACCCCTGACTCTCCGCCCATAACTTCCTCACTCTCCACATCCTCAGTTTCCAAGTGGAGGAAAGGAGGGAACATTTCAGTCCTGACTCCAAAGATAGAACGTGAGCAGTCCTTCCAAAAGAGTAGACCAAGGAGGAACCAGCAGGGGAAATTTCCCCGGCATTTGAGGTACAAGAGCAGTCCTTAAGCATTTTGCTCTCAGCCAAAACATTTGAGTGATGGATGTTTCCTGTGACTTGTTTTCCAAACAATAGATTAATTCATCAACTTCGATGGTAAATCCACACACACACACACACCCTCATTAAATCTAAGTGTCCTTTTTATTTTCCAAGCAGGAGCACAGTTTATCAATGACTCTTTTATAAAGATCAGAAAACAACTTCAAAAATATTTTGGTTTGTGTATTCAGATCAATATAGACCTAGGGAAAAGCAATTTCCCTAAAATAGCACCCTGTATCTGCTGGCTCACCCAGTAACCCTCTCTCATTCCTTCTCTGAAGGCAGCTGAGAAGCTGAACTGTTCCCTATTCGTGCACCCCTGGGACATGCAGATGGATGGACGGATGGCCAAATACTGGCTCCCTTGGCTCGTAGGTTTGTGTCAGCTTGGGGGTCTAGAAAAGAAGATCTAATTTTTGTATTTTTCCCCAATTATCTGTGAAACACTATTATGTCAAAGACAGAAAGTGTAATTTATTAACAGGATTGTGCATTATTGAGCTCTTACTCAGATTATTGCTAAATATATTATCTCATTTAATTTTAATCATATTCACACAAAACCCTATGAGGCTGACATTATAATAACCATTTCATGGATGGAGAAACTGAATCTCAGAGGGGCTAGGAAGCTTGTCCAAGTCACACAGTTAATAAGTGAACATGGAATTTACACAGATCAGTCTGACTCCAAAACCACCTCATGACACAGACTCCCCAAAAGGCTCCAAAGATAAGTAACGTTGCCTGTCTAACCGGTTTTGTAGAAGCCAGTAATAGCCTCAGCTCTTTCAAATGAGAACCCTGGAATTAGGAGGGGAAGGTCCCCTTACACCGCCCACCCCACGGATCGGAGGCCCTCAATTATGGGTGGCGTCATGATAAGAAAAAGAAATGAAGACAGGGTGGAATCCTGGGGCCACGTGGGGACAGTGCAGCTCATCTACACACCCAAGGAGTGGTCCCCGCCGAGTAGGGCTGGGTTTGCTTTGGGAGGCCATTACCCATTCTCTCCTCGGCCTCGCTGATACAAGTAACAGTGAAGTATCCACCATAAAGCACTAAATGGAGCAGTATATTGAAAGTAAAACTGAATTTCAGTTCCAGCTCGTCTAGATTTCTGTGTAACCCGTGGCAAGTCATTTCACCTCCTGACACCCCAGTTCCTCGTCTGTCAAGTGAGAGAGCTGGCTTGGATTCTCCTTCTACTCTGATATTTTATGCCCCTGGCATTGCTTTTGGAGACCCGTGTATTTAGTAAGGCAGCTTCCTATCTACTCCCCACCGAATTTTGAGCAGGAATTAGTAGAAAGAGGTCACCTAAGAAGCCCCAGTGTTTTCAGGCTTCAAAGAAAATCTCATTCCAATTCACACAGCACTTTGACTAGTCCCACAAGCTTATATACATGGCAACTTCCCACATGAAAAACAAAGGAGAGAACAAAGGGCCACTTCATCATTCATTTATGCAGCGCATATGCATTGATCTCCTGCAGCATGCCAGGCCCTATGCTAGGCACCAAGGATACAGACGTGGACAAAATCTCTGCCTTCCTGGATTTTATGCTCTGGTTGGAGGGAAAAGACAATAAACAGGCACACAGATCATAAACAAACAGGCTACGAGTAATTTCAGAATTCTATTCTGATGCAAAGGTGGTCGTTAGTGATTGGAGGATTCCCAGCAGGGGTGGGGCATACCCCAATTTACACTGCAAATATTCTGCTTTGGCTCCTGTATGGAGACCGGATTGTGGAGTTATGGTCCAAGTGATGAATGGAAAGCAGAATCATAGGACCCAAAGGAAGTGATGCTGCTCATCTCCTGCCTTCACGAGGCTCTGCCCACTTCAGATGGACATTAGTCTATCATGCTTCCAGAATTCCCAAGAGGCCAGGGAGCCAGGGGTGTCTCTGTCCACAGAGCAGTGGGGCAGAATGAGCATCCACTAAAGCCCCATTGGGCAGCCAGACAAGCAGGCTTCCCCAGACGGTGCCAGGCTCAGCTGTGGAGCCTCCAGAGATTCCTTAATCACAGTCTGAAAAGCAGTCATCTGAAATGAAACCCAGACTGAGTCCAAGGAAGTAAAGACACCAGGCATGAAACAGCCACTTCTAGGAGCTTGAAATAATTCACTTTAATCCAGTTCTTTTCTTTTCTTTTTTATTGGGGGGGGGGGGGACCACCAATTGTTGTTCCATTTATTTATGCATTCATTGGTTGATGCTTATATGTGCCCTGACCAGGGATCAAACCCACAACCAAGATGATGCTCTGACCAACTGAACTACCTGGCCAGGGCTTAATCCAGTTATTTTCAACCTCAGCTCTAAGAAGCAGCAAAAATTTGGGAGGAATGATAATATGAGTCAATATTTATTGAGCACTTAAGTGGCAAGAATTAACAATTATCACCCCCACCCATTTACGGATGAGGAAATTGAGGACAGGGAGGCAATTAATATTCTTGAGCACCTCTAATGTGAAGTTCCGGCCAAGAACCTTCCTGACATCATCATTTTCAAGGCTCCCAGCAGCCTTGCAAGACGGGCAATACTGTCCCCGTCTCACAGGTGAAGCGCAGGCTCGGGGGCTTTAAATACCTTGTCAAAGGCTGGAAAGCAAAAATGGGAGGAGTTCGGGTTCAGCCCAGACTCACTGTACTGTCTTGCCCCACTGCATCCAAAACTGAAGCTGGGGGAATCAGGACAAAAAACAGGTCCTCTGGCTCCTTGGCTATTCTAGCCATTAGGTGACTCTACCTGCAAGTGGCAAATAGGAAGCATCAGATGGTTCTGCTCACCAAGGCAATCGCCTGTATATAAGCAAGCCATGCTAGGGCGCAGGGACTGACAATTACAGCAAGCCGCCGTTCCCACCGTGAGCATCACTGAACTTCGTGCTAGAGGGGACAAGCCCTGTACCTTGTAACTGTTTCCTCTTTCAGGAATGCCAGCAGAGACCACCACAGCCATTTGCTCCATGATCATGGGTGGAGTGTTCGAGAAGTTTCCTAAACTGAAAGTGTGTTTTGCACATGGAGGTAAGACCCCATCTGTTTTGGTCAGCTCAGCTGCCATAACAAAATACCACCGACTAGGTGGCGTAAACAACAGAAATTAATGTGTTCACGGTTCTAGAGTTCCAAGACCAAGGTGCTGGCAGGGTTGGTTTCCAGTGAGACCCCTCTTCCTGGACTGTAGAAGGCCACCTTCTCACTGTGTTCTCACATGGCTTTTACTCTGTGCATGCACAGAGAGGGAGGGAAAAGGAGGGAGGGAGGGGTGAGGAGGGAGGGAGGGAAGGAGGGAGGGAGATTATTCTGCTGTCTCTTCCTCTTCTTATGAGGACACCAGTCCTATCAGATTAGGGTCCTACTTTATAACCTCATTTAGCATTATCTCCTTAAAGGCCCTATCTCCTAATACAATCACATTGGGGGTTAGGGTTTCAACATATGAATTTTGGAGGGACACAATTCAGTCCCTAACATCCTTCCAGTAATCATTCTAGTCATAAAGTATATGATGGTTCAAGGAACCAAATTCCATTTTTGCAGACAAGTTTAGTTTGATTGGCACAGTTTTATTTTGTTTTGATTTGTTTTGATTTAAATCTCTGTCAGATTACAAGCTGTCCAGTTTGCAATAATCCCTACCATTCGCTATTGTTTAAAATAGACCTATTTCATTCATTTACACTTCCTGCTTGGTCTCTGTAAGTGATTGAGTTTGTGACTCTTGGACACACAGACACACAAACTCTTCGTGCTGCTCTCTAATTTTTTTTCCTTCTCGCCAGCTTAGAGAGACATCTTCCAGGTCAATAAGTACAGAGCTTCGTCATTTTTGATCTTTGCAAGCAGTATCTATAATACATTTTTAGATAATTATAATTATTATTTAGATATTTCCTAATAGGTTGCTTCAGTATTTTGCTCATGTGACCACACCACATTTGAAAACTTTGACCACATATCTTTACACACTTATCTTCTCTCTTTAGGATAAATTCCTCAAATCTGCATTTCTAGATGAGTTCCTGTGGGTTCTTCTGGGTCATCTCTCAGCATTTGGAACCCAGTAGGTCCTTTGTTAACCAGCTGGGCTATAGTAACTTTTCTTTGCATACAACATGAGGATTAAAAGGAATCCTTTTCAGCTCTGGCCAGCTGGTTGGAGCGTTGTCCCATACACCAAAAGGTCATGGGTTTGATTCCAAGTCAGGACACAGGCCCAAGTTGCAGGTTCAATCCCCGTTGGGAGGCAACCAGTTGATGTTTCCCTCTCACATCTATGTTTCTCTCTCTATCTTCCTTCTCCCTCCCTCCCTCTCTCTCTAAAATCAATAGAAAGGAATCCCTTTCAATCGAAGCAAGCCCTCAGGAATGGGTTTTACTTGCAGGTGGAGCCTTCCCCTTTACAGTAGGAAGAATCTCCCATGGATTCAGTGTGCGCCCAGATCTGTGTGCCCAGGACAATCCCATCAACCCAAGGAAGTACCTTGGTTCCTTTTACACAGACTCCCTGGTTCACGATCCCCTGGCCCTCAAGCTGTTAACAGATGTCGTGGGAAAGGTAAGCTGGGTCTACCATCTGGATGGCGTCTAGAGAGCAGAGTACAGGATCAGCAACCAATTACTTGCTATCTCTCAAAAAAGGGGGGATGGAAGAAAAGGCAACTGAAGAAAGAACAGGGACAGTGAAATTTGGGATTGGGCTTGTTTGCACAGGGGGTGCTATGCAAATCATCCTCCACCAGAGAGTATGCATCTCCAGGGAACCATTGTGTATGCCAGGGAAATCCCACATAATCCAGATGGCCAGGAATTCCCCAGATCAGCTCCTCTTTTTTAGGGTCATCTCTGAACCCATTCAAAATGACACATTGTGATGTAGTACACAGAAAAGAACCAACAGTTTTGAAGTCAAATTGCTGTGGGTTAAGATCCTGGCTCTCCCTCTTACTGATAGGGTAAATTGTGAGCCTAACTGTCCTCACTCACTCAGTAAAGAAAACTGGAACATTAAAGAGGGGGAAATGGACCACCTGAAATTTCTTCCTGAAACAGCCTGGCCTACATATTGAAAAGGATTCTCTCATTTGGAAAAAGACCAGCACAGTAGTACTTTAAATCTCACAAGAAAAACATTTTTCCTCCCTCATAACCTGCTAGCTGCTCTCTCTGTTGGCAGCATCTCCACCCTTAAGTATTCTTTGAAAATGCTAACTTGGCAAATTATGACAATTTTAGAGAAAAGACCAGTCTGATTAGTGAGAAGTCTGAAATAGTTTTTCAATGCTGCTGTATTACTGACAGATATCTGTGGGAGGTTTCCAGATTTTCCCAAGGAAATCAAGTATTTGGGGTTTTCTAAAAGAACATGGACATACTTAAAGATTTGCAACATGGTACTTGGCTGTAGAGGAGACGCAAAGGCAAGCATTTAAATCTTGTTTAGCAGAAAAAGAGGCCCATCTGAAAAGTGCAAGTAGTGTTCTCTCTCCAGCATGGAGACTTCATCTCGCTGTGGGGCTGACTGCCTCTCTGCTGGAGAAACTGGCTAGAACATAAACGTTACACATTCCGGTTTGGTAATAAATTATGTGCTGAGATGTGTTTCTGAGCCTTCGAGCTTTTGTGTTGCTCCTGGCAAAATGGATGCTTAGCAGCTGGTTGTGACTGTGAATTATTTTTGGTTTGGACAGAGGAGTTAGGGGCAGGTATGCACACAGGAAACTGCAAAGAGGAGATGCTGAGAGACTGTGAGCTCTGGCCTTTGAGCAACGGAGGAGGGGGAATGGGATATGGGGTGGAATTTGGGAAAGGTCATTTCTACTTCCTCCCATCAAGCCTAGTACCTCCTGGTTTTCTTGGAAATGGCAAAACCAGGGGAAATACAGCACTGACCTTATGAGGGATACCATCCACAGTGATGCATACTCTCAGCATGAGGGATATTTCAAAACATCATTCAGGGCGATACGCATTGGCCAGGGGTCAGAGCAGAAGTGGAAGAACATGCAAAAGCCTCTTAGGGACCCACAGAAAAACTCAGAGGGCACTTTGCAAAGTTAGAGAGCTTACATTCAAACTATGAAGATTGGAGCCATTATAATTTGGGCATCCAAAACAAATATGACCTCATTTTATGTGGCCTCACAGTCTGGTGAACCAGGACATGTAAGCAGTATCTATAATGATAAAAGGATAATATGCTAATTAGACCAGATGTCCTTCCGGACATCCTTCTGGATGATCTTCTTGACGAAGCTGGGGCTGCAAGGGAAGCCCGGGTCCTGGGTGCCATAGGAAAGCTGGTGCCAGCAGCTAGGGGAAGGAAGGCCTACTTTTGCATGAATTTTGTGCTTCAGGCCTCTAGTATATTAATAATTTAGGATTCTCTTTAAAAGATGAATGCTTCCTCATTCTAGTTATACTCACATCAGCAAATCTCTCAAAAATAATCCCCAAACCAAAATGGCTGAGGAAAGTCCTAGCATGGCGGCTGGGCTAGAAAGCCACTGTCCAGAGTAGATTGAGAGGACTAATGCTGGGAGGGAGGCCTCCAGGCCAGGGGAAAGGAACTGATGGGATATTTGATGTGTTTGAGAAGTTGAAACAATGATTGCCAGGCATGCAACAGATCTGTTGATGCATTAGGGACAAACAAATAGTACGTGCACAGAAAATTAAGCAAATGAAAGAAAAGGAAATAACTCCAAGAAAACAAACATCCATATCACAGCAGATAACCATTGTACATTGCTTACTCAGCAGTGAACAATACTGACAGTCATAATAGTATAAGTACTGAGTACTGATTTAACTAAAAATTGTAATTCTATCAGGAAAATGGAGAAAAACAGTTGAGTAAGAAAGAAAATCTCAATGATTATAATGGGAAGTCAGTACTCTAGAGCAAGCATGTCAAACTCATGGCCCATGGGTTGCATTTGGCCCACAACGAATATTTTTGCGGCCCAGCCAATATAATGGTATGTAAGAAAGAAATGTTTTAATAAAAATGTCATAGCTTAATTTTTATAATATCCTGTTATACATAATTATTAATAATGAACTACAACGTTCGCTACTGACTGATTACTATAATCGTGTTGCATTCATTTCCCTTATGCGCCTTACATGCAGGCACACCATTTCTCTATACTAATATTAGCAGCGAATATTTTAGCAGCTGATAGCCACAACATTAGTATTGGACTAACTTGTTTGATGTGCACAACAGGAAATATTTCACTTTCAGAGAACAAGAAAAATAGGTTTATTTGCGTTACCCTTATTAATTTGTGCAGTTATTCAGTGTCTGGTGAGTTAATGTTCAAGAAAAAATATTAATTTTTATTAAAATGTTCTATTATTTTATGTTAACAATTACTCACTTATTTCAACCCTTTGTATTCAGCATGTCTCTATTGAAATAAACCTACATTTCTATGAAAATTGAAGCTTTTGTTTTTTTGCAGCCCACATAAACTTAAACCTTGTTTATTTGGCCCATGTTAGCCTTTGAGTTTGACATGCTTGACTTAACCCCAAACTCTACCAGTTTTGTAACTCTCCTCTTGGTACATATAAACACATTGTGTTCCATAGTTTATTAATTCTATCTTCTTGAAGAAATACCTTCAGGAGTCTTCTGATTTGCTCTAATCTGGATTGGGTTGCTGCACAGTTGTCATCTTGAAATCTCCCTTTGCTCACCAGCCACCCTCCCAACACACACACACACACACACACACACACACACACACACACTGAATTTCCTGTTTCCTGAATTCTATGATTTTCCAATTGCTTGGTGGAGAACATCCTCCAATAACTTTCTGAGAAAGGGTGTATGAGAGATGAAATTTTTGAAACCCTAGTTAACTATAAATGTCTTTATTCTTCCTTTATAATGAGTTGTTTGTCTAGGTATATAATTCTAGCTTGGAAACTGTTTTCCCTATTAATTTTAAAGACATTTTCTATTGTATTCTGACTTGTACAGTTGCTATTGAGTAATATAATGCCATTCTAATCTTTGAATTTTCATATAAAACCTGCTCCTCCCCCTCCTCTCCCCAATCTCAAAAACTAAGATTTTCTTTTTGTCCTGAAGTTTCACAATAATGTTACTTGATGTGTAACATTTTCGGCCATTATTCTAGCTACTTGGTGAGCCCTTATATTCTGTAAATTTTCTTTATTTCTTTCATGACTTCCTTTCCTCTGTTTTCTCTTTCTGGAGTTTCTATTATTCTAAAGTGGAACTTTTTTTATTTGTCTTGCATCCCCCCTTCTTTGAGTTTTTGTTTTATGTTCTGGGAGATTTCCTGAACTTTACTGGTAAGACCTTATATTGAATTAACTTTGATTGTTTATTTAATTTTCAAAAGCTGTTATTATTGTTCTTGCTCTCTAAACTTTTGTTAACATCTTCTTCATGCTGAGTGGATGCAATATTTTTTCTTGTTTCTCTGAATATACTAATAAATTTGGGAAATTTACTTCTCCTTGCAAATCTTCATCCAATAGGTTTTTTTCTCTTTTTTAAAAAGTCTCAGTCTTTCATATTAAATGTTTTCCTTAAATGTCTGTAATCCTTGGCAGTCACTGAAAAGGTGACCAGAAGTCTCTGCATATGGAGGGGGCCTACCAAGTGTGGTCTTCTCTGTAGAGTAACTTGACTCAGCCATGGACTTTGAAGGATGTGAGTAAATTGAATTCTTGTACATTGCCGGTTGAAATATAAAATGGTGCAGCCACTGTGGAAGCCAGTTTGGTGGGTCTACAACAAGTTAATCATAGCCCTAGCTGGTTTGGATCAGTGGATAGAGCGTTGGGTCGGCTTGCGGGCTGAAGGGTCCCGGGTTTGATTCTGGTCAAGGGCACATGACCAGGTTGTGGGCTCAATCCCCAGTGTGGGGTATGCAGAAGGCAGCCAATCAATGATTCTCTTTTATCATTGATGTTTCTATCTCTCCCTCTCCCTTCCTCTCTCAAATCAATAAAAATATATTTTAAAATAAATAAATAAATATGTTTTTTTAAAAAGTTAACCATAGAATTAGCATATGTTCCAATAATGCCACTCATAGGTATATACCCAAAGAATTTGAAAACAAATATTCAAACAAATGCTTGTACACAAATGTTTGTAATAGCATTATTTGCAATAGCCAAAAGGTAGAAACAACCTGTGTTCATCAACAAATGAATTAATAGGCAAAATGTGGTATATCCATACAAAGGGATATCATACTCAGCCATAAAAAGAAATGAAACACTGATACAAGCTCCAAGTGAATGGACCTTGAAAATATGCTAAGTGAAAGAAGGCAGACACATCAGTCACATGTGGTATGAGGCTATCTGCATGAAGTATCCAGTATAGGTGGATCCACAGAGACAGAAAACAGAATAGTGGTTGCCAGGGGCTGGGGGTTAGGGTGGAGGGAGTGGGCAGGGGGAGAGGGAATGGGGAGTGACTGCTCCATGTGCATGACGTCTTCTTTGGGGTTGTGAAATGTTTTAGAACTAGATAGAGGTGATGGTTGCACAACCTGGTCA